GCCTGCAAAACATATTGCTGCACCAATCAGAAAATTTTAGACATAAGTTAAGACTACATGCTGCAGAAATATACACCACACTTCAAAATAACAGTCATTATATTTAGTTAAATGTTAACACACTTTCAGTATGTCTTTTTTTAAAGCTTGAAAGTACTCAAACTAGTTGAACCTGCAATTTGGCAACAAACAAAAAAAAATAGCTGAAGAAATTCTTTAAATTATCTCATTTTGTATTCCACAGAACTAAGAAAGCCATGGGTATTTTTAAAAATTATAGGTACTATGAAAAGGTTCCCGTGGTGTGAAAGGCCCTATTGTCAGCCTGAGCACAAGCTGTCATTTAAAACAAAATCAGGACATGCCTAATAAAAAGAAATATATCATTTGTACATTTTATATAATTTGTATACCCTGTAAACTGCCGAAACTTATCATGGTACAAGGTATTATTGATACTGTAATCACCGAATTAACAAAACAAGCTGAAAGATCAAAGAACAAACTTTAGTTACTTGTCTGACCACCAAATTGGCCTTTTAAACTAAAAGATCTCAAAACAGCATTTAGGTAAGTGCTATTTAAATAAATACAAAAAAAAAAAAAACATTGGAATTTTAATAAATTTGAATATAAAAGTCACTGTCTTAAATTCAGTTTTTACTCAAAACTGAAGTTTTTGTCATCATTTAATCACCGTCAAGTCATTCCAAACATGTATGCATTTCTTTCTCTTGTCTATTTATTTTTTTTCATCCATACAATGAAACTGTTGTTTTAGACCCCAGAGACTTTCATTGTATGAGCAAAAACAGCTAAAACACATTTAGAAGAATATTCAACATATTCACACAGGTTTGGAACAACATGAGCTTGAGTAATTGACGGCAATTTAATTTTTTTTATTAATTATCCCTTTAAGAAACTGGACACTTAAACTAAATTAATGCAGCACTTAGTCCTAAGGCGAGCTCGGGCTGATAAGAAATTTCCCACGGAGCAGAAGGTTTGGTCTGTATCTGTACTTAGACTCGAGATCATGAAAGCGGGGCCTCACGCTCCTTCAGGCTTTGGGGTTTAAACAGGAGGTGTCAGTGTCGTGAGACAGGTTCGTTTTAAATTCGTTCAGACATTCGGTGCGTGTGACAAGACACTGGAGCAAAGTTACCTTCTGAGGCATTGCAGAATTAGAGTTACCCTTGAATATAACAATATCACAGAGCTGTGGGACACTCATGGGCCAGCACATGACACTGGTCATGTTATGTGCATGCTAGTTATAAACGTATGCCAAATTACTTAATACGTATTATTATCATTATTACTATTATTAAAAATCATATCTTTGTATTGTTATGTATTCGATTTACTGGACTAATGGAAAATTACAATTAAAAATAAAAGACATGGTTACTACATGGTTATATAAATCAAAACTTAAATTTCCAGCAAAATTAACTGGGTCGTTCCATGCCAAATATTGATTGTGATTTTAATTGTTTTGTTTGTTTGTTTTTTTCAAAGAAAGAAAGAAAGAAATACATGCATACATAAATAAATAAATACATAAATACACTCAAAGAAGAAAGCCAAAATATTAAATTAAATGGCATAGTTAAATATTTCCTGAGTAATCAACTACCTTTTTTTTGTTGTTGTTTTTGAGATTTGGAGTCAAGTTACAGCAAGTTAGATGGCAACATTATTATGCCATTTACACAGACATTATCAAACAGTATTTATATATTTACTCATATGTGACCCTGGACCACAAAACCTTTTAAAAGTCTTAAGTGTCAATTTTTCGAAATTGAGATTTGTACATCATCCGAAAGCTGATAAGATTCCCATTGATGTATGGTTTTTGTTATGATAGGACAATATTTGGCCGAGATACAGCTATTTGAAGTCTAGGGTCACATATAGCCACACTGAGATCCCAGCATCTCTGGAACCGAACCATGTAGAGCCTTAAAAATGAAGATACCAAAAGTCAACAGTTGTTAAAGTAAACAGTTTTTTATCCCTCCCCTAATAGACCTACCTATGTCTGTGTAAAAATCAATATTTTTCACATAATGTACATTAATGTTGCTCCTCTATGCCCTGCCTTTCTGAAATGCATAAATTTTTACAAAGCTCATCGGTCTGAAAAGTGAGGTGTGCTCTGATTGGCCAGCTATCCAGTGCGTTGTGATTGGCTGAATACCTCAAGCGTGTGACGGAAATGTTACACCCATTACTATACTGTGATGCCGTGTCCCGGCACGACGAGACAACACCAATAAAACCCATTATAAACGAGGCATTTGTTGCATCCAGTGGGGAACATAAAAACATAAAAACATGTCTGCATTTGTGATCAGAGAAACGACAAACAACAAGCGCATTATGAGAGCACTTTTTTAAAAAACTAAATTTCAATATCGTGATAATACCGAATACCGTGATAAAAGCATTAGCAATTAATCGCAACATGAAAATTTGATACCGGCATATCCCTAGTCACCGCAATTAAATCAGTGTCTATCATGATACAACCTTAATATCAAACCTATATAATGAGTTTGGAGATTTTAGAGAAATGCTTAATAAATGCACTGTAACTAAACCCATTAGATTTTAGCCCCGAATCCTATTTGATTTGCAATTCCTCTCCATAACAACTCCATCTTATCGAGATTTTTGTAGTCGCTGTCGCGTTTGTCATAAAGCCCTTTGTGTTCAGACACCAATGAGACCAGCAGCTCTACATTCATCTTGCCTCGATGCATCTTCTTTGTTTACTTACTTCCTCTTCGTCGTTAGGTATCAATGTATGCTCGGCAAGAACGTTTTGTGCTTGAGCGCCACCAAGTCGTGTTTTACTATCGGCGGTAATCGCGCGCGATAATCGTCCCGTGTGCACAAGCCTAAAAACTAAAAACAATTCAGATGACTAAAATATGAAGAAAACTAAATGGCATTTTAGTCAAAAGACTATGACTAAAACTAAATCAAAATTTGCTGTCAAAATTAACACTGCATCATATCAAATGTTTTTTAAATATATTTTTCAAGTACCATTTACCAATATCATGAGTTATTTATTTATAAATATTACATTTTTGAGTCACACTACATTTACAACCAGAATTAACTTTGCAGTGTCATAAAAAGGACAAATTATCATATTATAATTTTAAGAAACCAATTTGACCTTAACACACACTCATGCATGTCTGCAGTTTTCCTTTCTATGACTATATTTACATTCACAATGTTCTGAAGCATGTGCAAACGTGACCATTATTTTCCTACATTTCCACAAAAGAAATTGTGGCAAATTTGTGCAAATTTTAGCAACCTTGAACCCGACATGAAATCTGAGTGGCCTGATTCTTTGCCACCGAAAGTCCATCACATCATTACACAATGCTGAGGTGATAAAAAGGTATGCAAATGCTGCTATCAAGTCTTAAATAGATTTCTTGCAATAAAGTGTCTTTTTCTTCCCCCACGTTAATTGCACCACATGACTTCAGCTGACAATAGTTTTTCTATTAATATTTGTATTTTGTATTTTTAATATTTTAACAAAACTTCACTGTTTTTTTTTTTCTTAAAATAATGAGGAACATAATAAATAATAATAATAATAATAATAATAATAATAAAATATTATGTGAAACAAAAATGTAAGACTTTCATTTAATGAGGTTTTTCTTCATTAAGATATGAAAACTTTTTTTCGGGTGGAGGGCATATTAAAAATTTATTTTAATTCAGAAACTAAAAACATATAAAATAAAAGTACTCAATCAACTGTATGCGGGTCAAAGACGAAAAAGGGTTTAAGCATAAAAACAATACTGCTTTAAGTTATTGTTGTTTTTCCCAAAAAAAATTTTTTTTTTTAATTAAAAAAAATTCTGTTTCATGTAATTGTATTTTTGTTTTTTTTTCTGAACAAAAAATAAATATCATACATTTTCCCCTGATTTACAGAAGACACCCACTAAAATGTAATTTAGTGAAATAATCTTGTCAGGCATATTTACAACAAAAATCAATTTATGAAATTAAAAGGCTAATTACTTTCACCCCAAATACTAATTAGTTGTTATTTTACATTTTTTAAATGTGCCACTATCCTAGGTTTTGCCCATTTGTCAGTAATCATTTTTTACTCATTTAAAACACAATCAAATTGAATATGCTCACTTATTATTTTATATATTTTAATACGTACACGTCAGAATAAGCATGTTGTTTGAATTTTTACATAAATATTGTGCTACACTGAATGACAATGGAACATTATTTCAAACTAATTTTGACATTTTATTCTTCAAAAACTTATTTGAAACCTTAAATGTAGACACTTTACTTGCATTTAATGTGCTTTCTATGGACATAAAATAACGTTTGTAAATTTCTTTTGATGCAGACATCTTAACATCTTTGACCCATGCATAAATTGCATTTTCTGTATTTTGAATAAACAGTTTTTTCATTTGTAATTTCAAAAGTAATTACAAAATCTGTTATTCACTGATAATCTTTCACTCTACTGAAGTTATGAAATCTCACCTGCACTGAGAAAAAAAAAAAAAAAAAAGTTTGAATGAAGAATGAGATCTGAGAACGGCAGCAGGAAAAGAAAAATGGCTTTAATTTGGGTCTGTTTGTCAAACAAAGCTATACGGCTTCAGAACAGTCAAATATTACAGACAAGTGGTGCAGATGGCTTTAATGATACTTCTATGGCGGTTCTTTTTGCAGCTTCAAAGCTGTAGTCACCAAGTCGTATTGGAAAAGAGTTAAGTGAAGATTCTTCAAAAACTCTTATTTTGTGTTTAACAGGGAAAAAAAAATAGTCAGCAAAAAAAAATAACATCATACAGCTTTGAAACAACAATTTCTATATTTAAGTAAACTATTCCTTAAAGTAAAATGGAAAGGCCAGCCTGCATTGGCTTGAAACATAGATGAAAACGTCCTCAGTGAAGGCAGTTTACCTTGTGGTGCAGAGCTCGCAGGAGTCAACTGCTCTATTCTACTTCCTCTCCTTCCTTGTCTGCTTTTCTTGAATTCAGCCAAACAAGAGTACGATCTGAAAACAAAAGGGTCAATGGGTTAAAAATTAGCCACTTGTTCCAAGTTACATCTTCTGTCATTGAAATGCAGTGGAAAATTACAGACCCTGGACGCCTTGCATGGAAAATCCCTAAATTTATTGCACAAAAGGAGGAAAGGCAGTCTTCTGAAAATTTCCATGAAAATTCTATTCTTAGATTAGAAACAGTTGGAGGGCAGACTGTGGGTTTTTGTTTGAGGAGCAAATCCTGACCAAAACAGGCCTGATTCCACAATATTCAGCTGAATACTACTTCCCGCCAAAGCATTTAGAACTCCAATAAAACCACCGCGTAAAAAGAACATTAAAAATGCAGTATATCTGCTGCTTTGACACCTCCATAGTGATGTTGTTTCCTTAACAAAGCTGAGTCTCTGTGTTTTCAGATTTAAAAGGGAAAAAAAATTATATCACTTTTGGAATTCATGTGGCTCCAAAGTTCTGAGAGCACAATGAAAACATGGGACTTTGTTTTCCCTCTTGTAAACCTAGCTAGCAATAACGTTAAGTTTCATAATAAAAAGTTGTGATTTCTAATAAGCTACAACAAAATCTGAATTTGCAAAAACTTGTGGAGTCCATCTTGTAATTAAAGAAAACGGGAAAATAACAAATACTAAGAAATGCATATACCTTTTCCAATTCAACTTTTCTTAAATCGTTATGCCGATAATATAATTTGTACTGAACTTGGCTGAATTTGGAATTAATTTTGTATTAAATTCTAAAAATGCACAAGTAGCATTTCCTTCTCTTTTGGAGGCCACTGAAAATATATTTAGTTTTTGACATTTGTACATTAAAGGGATAGTTCACCTAAAAATAAAATAATAATGAAAATGCCATTTACTCACTGTCATGTTGTTTCAAACCTGCATGACTTGCTATCTTTTGTGGAACAAAAATGTCTAATTTTATGTCCATACAATAAATGTCAATGGGGTCCAAAGTTGTTTTGGAACATGTTTTGTGCCCCACAGAAAAAGAGTTAGTCATACAGGAATTACATTAGGATGAGTACATGTAGGGTTGGGCGATATAGCTAAAAAAAATTATCAACGATATAATGTTTCATATCGTTCGGTATCGATAATTATTGACATTTTGTATAACCTTTTTTAAAACAAAGAGCAATAGAATTATTAAATTAACCCAATTTATTGGAGAGTACCCAAGAATGTAATCGGCGTTGTTTACGTTAGGGGGGAAAGCGCGCGCATGAACATAATCTGCGTTGTTTACACTTAGTGTAAAGCGTGCTTATGCGTTGTGATACTCTCCAAAATGGCGGAAGACAGTAACTCGGGGAGAAGAATTGTTGAATAAAGTCATCATTTTTGTTTTCTTTGCGCACAAAAAGTATTCTCGTAGCTTCGCAAAATTGAAGTTGAGCCACTGATGTCACATGGACTGTTTTACCGATTGCCCTTGCTACGTTGCTGTCTATGGAGAGTCAGAGAGCTCTCAGATTCCATCAAAAATATCTAAATTTGTGTTCCGAAGATGAACATAGGTCTTATGGGTTTGGAACGACATGAGGGTGAGTAATTAATGACAGAATTTTCATTTTGGGGTGAACTAATCCTTTAATCTACGATGACAGCAGCAACTGTTAATCACCGTCAACACATTTGTACAGGTACTTGAAGTACTGAAAAAAATAATAATAATCTGCTGACACACTTTCTCCCCATTTTTACAAAATATTTGAAAATATTTGAAATGGAGTCTATTAACACAGTTGTTCCATGCAATGCGACTTTGATGTAAATAGCTGTTTGCAGTTCATTGAATAGGAAGCTCCAAATATTCTCACTTTCCTCATGTAGCTAGCAAAATTATTAAGACACCCAACACGTGTGACCAGTACATATTACTGCTCAGCTGCTTTCTGTTAATGACACATGAACAAAATGCCATCTATTCTGCACCCACTGTCAGATCTGACTGATCGTTACAATATTTGCAGTGGAGCTGTGAAAGAAGAAGAAGAAAAAAAATCAATAGTGTGTGAAAGGAAAATGCCAGCTGGTAAGAGTGGCTTGTCGTTTAACAATATTTTGTTTTCTTACGACACTGAGGAAATGTGCTGCGTTTCAAAACAGCTCGACTGATAAAAATATGTAAATATTTAAACGAACACAAAACAGCATGATGAAGTTTGTCTTAAAGGCATAAACGCAAAAGCATCCACAACAAACGAATCTACAAACAGACTAAACCACAGCGGTAATAATTAGTGTCGAATATTAAAAAATGCATCCTCGCAAGCAAAATTCATTGTAATTTCTTAATTTTTTCGAAATATCTACCGACAGATGGCGCTAATTTCCCTGCCAAAACGAAAACGACATTTACATTCTAATTTCATCGAAAATAATGCCGTCTTTCACTAATCACACTTTCGTTACTCTCATCTGCATCGAAGTTCAGTTCATGAAGTTGTTTAGGGAACGACCGAACAGTTCAAGCCAACCTTTCTTTCCAGTCGCCGGAGAAGAGGAAAATTCACAGGAAAATTCAGCAAACATGGCTGCTGCGTGTGCTTTTTGTGTTTTCAGATTGTACCCTACCCCGTCTGATTTCAACTCCACAAATTTCCCTCAAAAGCCTCTGGTCGACCCGAACACATAACCGGCAGAACCGAGCGAGCAATGCAACAATTCACTGCAACACAAACTCGCTGCAAAACTTTATTTCCAAAGCAGCTCCGCAAGAAAATGGAAAAAAAAAATTACAAAAAAATCAACAGATCATGCACTGCACGACACATTCAGATCACATTTGAGAGAACTGGGATGTGATCTTACCGCGCACACAAACATGAGCTCCGGATGATTGCGATCAAAGCGCCCGTCACATTGTAGCATTCGTGAATGAGGAAAGACGCCGGTGCTCCACTTTGTTACCTCCCAAAATGATGCGGGTCATGCGGAGAAATTTTCTGGGAATGAAGAAATCCTCCCCTTCGGATCTCAAAATGACGAAACGAGCGGGTCTTTCCGGGGCTTTTTTCTCTGTCTCTCTTCTAGAAACAGAGCTCCCAAATTTGATTTCAATGAATTTGTCTGTTGTCTTCCTGATATGTCCACGCCACTGGCGGCCGATGCTTCACTACTGGTGAGGTATATTAATGTTGCGGTCTGCCCCACGGACACATTCATCCGCCATCATGCAAGGGCAGGTTCACAATTTGCAAATGCATTAATTTTACACAATGCCTTTATGTGGCTGATATCACGTCAGCTGGCCCATCTTTTGGGTTAGACAAGCAAAATAACTCAACTGTAGGCTTCCATGTAATAACAAATTTGAGCATGCAGAGCAAGTCTTTTTTTTATATAACCAAATTACTTTTTCATCTGCTTGAATGAAGACAACTCTTCTGTTAGACCCGCAATTTACTTGTTTCCCAGTTTGTTGCCTACATTTTAACTACAGTGTTTTGAGCAATTTTAGTAGCCTATGTTTTGTTGCTATAATATTTTACAGAGGGACACAGACATGTTGTGGCAAGTATATACAGGACTTGATTTACAGAACATGAAGATTATATCTGCAGCGCGGCCTATTTTCTTTTTCTTTCAAAAACCATGACAAATTCGACGTGAACATCAAATCAAAGGACTTTTATGTATACTGTGCCGTTTCCATCTTCACTTCTCAAACGGGTCCCGTCTCGTCAGCGCCTCTAGCGGCGAGTCTGCGGATGGTCTGGAAAAAAAAAAAAAGTGTGATTCATGAAATTTGACATGCAAATTCCAATTTTCACAAAGACAAAAATATCACTGTGTTTCTGTGAGTCCTCATATTTAGAAGCTTGCAAATCACATTCTGTAGTAATGATTAGCACCAAAAATGTAGGCTATTCAATTTTTTACTCCTCACCCCAGACTTTTCATTGTGTGTTTTTCTTTTAGACCCATAAAGTATTTAGTTATATAATATAAATATATACACACATATACATACATGCATACATACATACATACATACATATATTAAATAAAGATGACAAACTTTAATCCCTCAATAATCCATGTTATAGCAGCATAATGTTCCAAATAGCATCTGGTCAAGGAAATTTGAACTTTTTCACAAATGAGTTAACATGACCAGTGCCATAATTTCAATTTAGTTTGGGAAGTTTCTGATTTTCTGGTTAGGGAAAAAAAGCGAGATGGCTCAAACACCATCTAAAGTAAAAAGCCACTTTCCACAACATAGTTAAATGGTTAACTAGCTAAATGTGCTATTGGCTATTTTCAGAAAACATCAGTGAAAAAAAATCAGCAAACAGTGAAGCAAATATGGAACACAAAACACTTCATAACTAAAGAACAAAAACCAAAAAATAAAATAAAATTATAAAAAATACTGTAATATCTGTTGGCCAGTTATATAAAAATTACAGCATATAAAACTCAGGTTACAACATTTATAAAACATAATAAAAATATTGTTATTCTGTGAACAGTTCTTTGAGTAAAAAATAATTTGAACTAGATGTTTGAAACCGTACAAAAGCGTACAAAACCACAGCTTTTGCATTTGAATAACTCAAAACATTACAGTTACTACAATTTCAATTTTAGTCCTTTTTCAGACATCAGATGTATTTACATTGTGACTGTATGTACAATCAGCTGCATTTGTGTTTGTAAAGGTGTGACCCAAATGGCCCATGCAGGCAAACAACCCATACAGGGAAATGACCAATACAATTAGAATTTCTAAGGGACTATTTGCAGGGTCTCCAGCGGGGCGTCCTAACAGTATGGTGACTATTGTTTGTGACACATTTGTCTTCAAGTTTAAAGTTCTGTCCCACAGACAGTATTTGGGTTAAGATTCATTGAAAGCTCACATTCTAACATCACTGCTTATTAACTGTGCTTCAATACTACCTTGAATAAATTCATCTCCACACAACAACTTTATCAAGCTTCCTGATTTTGTATTAGAAGAAATCGAATATACCGTATTGACCCGAATATAACACGATGTTTTTTTCTTGGAAATACATCTGAAAAACCGTGCTCGTCTTATATTCAAGGTCTAGACTTTGACATGTCAATAATACACCCACAACAAACCATGCGACCCCTCCCCCCCTTATGCATACCAGTGACTAAAATATGCATATTAGGTATGGGAGTGGCATATGTTGAGTTTTGATATTTGGATAGGGTCATGTTTTTGATTGGCCTTTGGGCTGGTTTTGTTAGTCAGACCTGCCAACCCTGTCCAGTAGTGTGTTTCGGCCCATATTCTAATAGGATTTAGTGGTTTTAATATGCTGCCAATACAAAGCAACAATTTACCAGTAGAGACCCACAGGGACCATTACAGTTTTCATTAAAACCAATCAAATTCCCATTATAACCATTAAAACCATTACAATTTTTCCCCACAGCAGATTGATCTCCCTTTTGAGATAATCATTTAAAAATATAATTGAATGCAGCTCACTTATAGTTCACATTTACAGGAAGACTGAAGTATTTAAAGACTATCTTAGGAGAGTTAAATGGAATGATATTCAGAATTTCTCATTAGTTGATGATGCTTGGATAAATTTTAAAATTTTATTTTTTAAAGTAGTGGACAGAATTGCCCCCCTTAGACAGGTGAGAGTTAGGCAAAGATCTAGTCCTTGGATGGATCAGAAAATACTGGAAATATTAAAAAGTAGGAATAGGACTCTCTCGATTTATAGGAGAACTAAGAATCAGGAGGACTATATTCAATTTATAGCACTTAGAAATTTAGGACAGAAAAATATAAAGGAGGCAAAAAAAGTAATTTGATTAAGGAACAAATACAAGAAAAAAAGGGAGATCCTAAAAATTTGTGGAAGGTGCTGAATAGGTTCCAATCAATTGGAAAATCGAAATTTTCTGTATCCAAGGATTATATATTGGTGGCAAGATAGAATTTGATAAAAGTAAAGTTGCTAATAAATTTAATTCATTATTTTCATTAATTGCAAATAGCTTAGTGGATAAACTTCCTCTGTCTAAGGGAATTCATGGGATTAATTTTGTTAAGAGATTTTAAACAAAACAAGGGGTGTTGTCAGACTCTTTCTCTTTTACCAGTTACTGTAGAGCAAATTACTAAAATGTTAGAGGAGCTTCAAGTGTCTTAAGTCAACTGGGCTGGACGATATTCCAGCTAGATTTTTAAGAGATGCTGCAGATATTATAGCTCCAACCATTACATTTATTGATAACCTTTCCTTGGAAAAGGGTATAGTCCCATCTGAAATGAAGTTAGCCAAAATCATTCCATTATTCAAAAAAGGAAATAGATACAATCCTGGAAATTACCGTCCAATCTCCATTCTTAGTGTGGCCTCAAAAAAAAAAAAAATAGACAAATTTTATAAACCGATGTATTAATATGTATGCAAGTATTGTTTAATTTATGATTTTCAATCAGGTTTCAGATCTTATTCGACTGATACTTCTTTACTTTATTTAACAGATTTTATAAGAAAGCAGATTGATGAAGGTAAAATGTGTGGTTTGGTACTTTTGGATCTTTAAAAAAAATCAATACTCTTAGATAAATTAAGTGTCATAGGTTTTTCAAGTAAAGTCATAGCCTGGTTGAATTCAAATTTAACTGGGAGAGTTCAGAGGGTAGAAACTGATGGGGTTCTTTCTGAGGAAACAATTGTTAAAAATGGAGTCCTTCAGGGAAGTGTTTTAGGCCCTCTTTTGTTTCTCTTATACATAAATGACATGCAAGCAGTTTGTGATTGTATTTTGTTTTTGTATGCCGAGGATTCTGCTTTATTGGTTTCAGACAGGGATGTTGGTAGGATACAAGTGAATTTAGGTGAGGAGCTTTGCATGGTAAGAGACTGGCTTTCTGAAAACAAACTCTTGTTGCATTTAGATAAAAACGGAATGGATGTCTGATTTGCCACATAGTTGGTTGAATAAGTTACAAAAAAAATATCAAAAACTGATAAGATTAGTTTTAGGGTTTAGTCGTTTTACACATGTTGATGTTTCCCATTTTAAGTATCTTGATTGGTTACCTATAGAAAGCACAATAGAACATATTAAAGTAAAAATGGTACATAAGAATATCAATAATAGAACTCCTTCATATTTTAATGCCTTTTTTCCAGGGTAAATGAGCAACATTGTTATAATACTAGGCAAAGTCTTATGGATATCACATTGTCGTTTTAAAACTATGTATGCTCGTATGTCTTTTGAATACTCTGGGGCACAAGTTTGGAAAAAGTTACCTCTTGATATTAAAGGTTATTATAGATTAAAGGTATTCTGAATATGGCTAGTTTTAGTTTAAAAGTTAAAAGTAGGTTATTCTATTGATGAATCTGTATTTGTATATGTTGTGTATGTGTTTAATTGTGATTGTAAATTTTGTTAATGTGTAATCTTATTATAATTTATGGATGTATAATGCAATGTCAGTACCTGTTAGTGACATTTGTGCCTAACATCAAGGACCACAATGGAAACAAGTTTTTAACTTTATTGTGCTATCCTTGATGAACTGAGTGTATTTCACTACTTTTCTAATAAATCAAATCAAATAATAATAAAAAAAATGCATTATCTTACAAGTCTTCATTAATTTGCTGATTACATCATGTTTTCCTCCAGGAGATTTCTGTACTCAGTTCCATCTTTTCCAGTCTCTTCCACAGAGAAGGTTCCCCTTCACGCTGGATGGTGTTCACAGCAACACAGGTTTTCACCAAATATGAATTTTGTAATCTTCCAGATTGTTTAGTCTTCAGTCCAGGATCACACCTCTTCAGTTCACAGCTTTATCATGTTTTCTGTTCTCCAGTGTATGAATGGCCGGCAATAGCTGTCACACCTGTACTTCAATATTGTAAATATTTCTCAGAGTATTACTGAGCCATGTTTTTTTTTTTTTTTTTAAAGGAATCTGCTATGTATTGACAATAACTTCACCCAGTTTAGTCAAAGCCAGTGGCCTATAGTGGTTCTCAACTCAGGTACTGGTGTCCCACTGCTCTGCACATTTTGTATGTCTCTTTTATCTGGCACACTAAGTTTAACAAGTGTAATTGCAACTGGAACAATCAGCTGTGAGCAAATTTATTTCTTGCCCCAAATTAAAGCAATTCACAGTGAAAGAAATTGTTAGATTCTCCTGGGTGGATACCAATGTAAATATAATTGCATTACAAAAGCAATTATTAATATATTGATAAGTTATATTCAACTTTTAATTTAAAGTAATATAAATAAATAAATACATCAAAATACAAGCATGAGAATATATAAAAATAGCTAAGCTTACA